GGCAACCGAGCGCTGCCGCTTCCGCCTTAGTGCAGGGACCGGCACCGGGACCGGCACCGGGACCAGCCGCGTCCACCCCCCGCGCCCCAATGAGGCTCCGGGGGGCTGCACGTCCCGTCCCCCATCCCGGCTGCCGGACACAGAGCAGGGGCCTGCCCTGCAGACAGACAGTGCCCCACAGGGACGGGACGTGTCCCACACGGACGGGACGTGTCCCAGCGCCTCGCAAAGCAACCGCCTCCCACGGAGGATCCACGGAGGCAGCTGCTTTTAAGGGAAATTGCCCCAAAATCACACTCCAAAACCGCCTCCGGGCCCTGTCCCCCAGGGACCGAACCCCCCCGAGGATGCCCGGATCCACCCTGGGTTCCTCGAACACCTATGAGCCCTGTTCGTGTCCCAAAGTCCAATTCCCAAGCCTGAATTCCCCTCTTTTCCAGCAACTCTCTTCCTCAATCCCCAGCTTGGGGACTATTCCGACAATTCAACCTTTTTTTCCCTCTTTAGTTGCCCCAACTACCACATTCAGTCAGGCCTAAAACCCCCCGATTAAGCATCTCCTCCTGCCCGAGGAGCGGCCGCTTTCGCTCCGAGCGCTCCCGCTTCCCGGCCCGCCGGCTCCCCCGGGACTCGCTCCACGCAGCGGCTCCGGGMGCAGCCGCGGGGCTCCTGGGAAGCCCCCGTGGGCAGCCCGGCTCGCAGGCCTCGCTGATCCCCGCTCCGCAGGCCTGGCTCCCACRTCCTGCCCACATCCCCCATCGCGCTCCTGGCACCAACCGCTTCACTCTAATCCCAGTCACCAGCAGCTCCTCAAGGACTCACTTCTGGCAGTAGTGGAAAAAGAGAGGTAACGGCACAGGAAGGTATTTTCTTGGAAAAAAAAGATTTTATATATATATATATAATATATATATAAAATATCTTTTTTTTTCCCAGAAAATATAACTCCAGCATAATAACTATTCCCACCACAGCTGTGCATGTGTAACCCCCTCAACTACAATTCCACAAGTTCCTTTTACYCCAGGTCATGGAGGTTAAAACCCCTTAGCTACAATATTTATCTGTCTACAAAGACCATCCTTTTGCAGGCTGAAGAGGCAAAACCCCAATGCAACTGGGAAAAAAACCTCTTTTCTACACAAAAGCCCCTAGCCAGGTAACACAAATTTCATGCAAAGTTTAGGAGATGCATTTTGAGACCCATTTCATCAGCTCCTCTCACTTTTTAGGAGGTCAGCCTTGATTTTCTGCCCTGTTCTTCAAGCACATGCCAACACTAAGGAAAAATCCCCGCTTGCAGAAGGAAAAACGTGGTGCGACTCGGGGAAAAGCTGTGAAAGCGGAGTCCTCACTCGCGTGTGGGAAGGAATAGGGGACTATCCGGGCACAGCAGGAGCTGAATCACTGCACGTAGGTGGAGCCAGACGGAGCGCCGGGATCTGGAACTGGAAAAATGACCCGATCCGAGGTCAATCATTTTGGGAAGTCACTGACTGAGGGAACACACRGAGATGGAGCCAGGTGACAAGAGCCCACGGCAGCGTGACACTGAACGAAGAGCGAGTATTAGATGCCCGCGCGACAACGGACCAGCTATTACTTAAAATATGAACACCAATAGTGTTTTTAGGCCAAGCAGTCTTTTTTTTTCATGTAACTTTTAGTATCACCCACGTTTTCTTAACATATCCCCCCAATAAAGTATGAAGGTRCTCAGGGAGGAAAACCATTAGTAAAAGTCTATTTTTTAAAATTTTTTTCCAATGCATTCAGGCAATAGAGTACTAGGTAGTGCCTTCCCCGAAGTCGTGCAGCAGCCAGCTGATACTAACCTCTAAATTAACTGCGTATCAGATAAAAGCACGAAATAGAAACTATTGCACACCAAGCTTTCTAAAGCCTCCCRGCCCTTCGGATCACTAAATGCCAATAAAGTGTGACTGATAGGCTAATCTAGGGCATAAAGCTGGACTCAAAACGGCAAACAAGCTCGGGTAATAACTTTGTTATCCACCTGCTCCACAASGCTCGAACTTGGAGCTCTGCTGCTCCAAAGGGCCTTATTTTATGCCTGCAAGTAAGACTGGGTTTCTCTAGCCGAGCTGTTTCTCCATTTGSTACCCCATTGCCCAGCCACTGCAGCTCTGCACACTTAGAAAATATTTCAATCTGATTGCGCACAATATGAAAAATCCAGTCAATATGAAGCTTTTAAAATAATATATCGATGCTATATAAATATTTAATATATTTAATAATATGTATATATTTATATTTCATATATTTAGTATAAATATTGCTAGCAGTTAGCATCACACCGGTACTTACAGCTATTAAGTGGAAAGGCCAACCCACAACCCTGCAAACAGTCATGCAGGACGAGCCTGTTAGGRAGCGGTGCCACCTCCAGCCTAGAAGCCTCTGCCCCACATGATGCTGCCTAAGAACAGGCATTTTATGCCCTGTGGAATACCCGGTGCTTTCCAAAGGCTTCCATGGGCACCTGGACACTCGGAGTTTGGTCTTTCACATGCAGACGGGTCCATGAGAGCAGAGATTTGCTCCTGAAAACCCTGCTTTGTCTTCATTATAGCTGCGTATTTTGGGGGCTGCTTCCACGGGCATCTTGWCCTCTTCCGTCTGCAGCCACCTGGAATATGGGAATTGCCCACAATGTTCCCCCCACATACAAACCTCCTACACCTGCTGCAGAGCTAACACTTGAGCATGGAGATCTTTAATTAAACAGATATTTGATGCATCTCTCCTGTTTTCCTCACCAAATTGCTACAGTCACCTTGCACCAGCTTAGCTTTCCAGGACACAGCTGCAAAGCACAAGTCGTTTTTTATTTTCATTTGCATCCAGCATTTTCTTAGGTTACGGGTGGGAGCAACAGGGCAGTCTCAGACTCGCACAAAAGCCAAATTACCTMAACTGGCAGCTGAAAAACCAGCACTGACCAAAAGCTTCCGCTCACCAGGGAGTTACCGTGTACCAGGAAAAYGCTTTTAGTTCCCAAAGGACAACTATTTCACCGATGGGAACAAAAGTTTTTGGTTTGCAAAGTTCATTCCGAGTTACCCTCCTTTCACAGGGGAAGCAGAAGAAGAGTGCACATTTATCAGAGGCTTCGAAGTTAACCTGCCTTATTTTATTCCCCTTTTTATCAGCAGGAAAAAAAGAAAAGTTGTGGTAGRAAAGCCTCTATGTGGAGATCTGACCCCACCGTGTTTCAGAGCTCAACCGTATGGTCCACGAGCATCTTCCCTTCGCAACAGGCTCCGTCTGCAGGCAGGACTCCTCCCGTCTCCCTGCTCCGCAGCGAGTTAGGTTTCAGATGCGAATCCAGCTGCACTTTGCTCAGCAGAACCGTCTCCCAAAGCTCTGCCGGCCAAACCCGGCCCGCTACCCRTGCGCCCGGTCGCTATTTTTGACTCCACAACATTTTAGCCAGGTGGAACTTAGCAGGAATAATGCTGGTAATACAAAACCAGAAGAAATAAAAAATAATCATTAACCTTAACCACGCTAGAGCTGCCCACAGAGCTTATTTGGATGCAATTATATTTTGTGGAAAACAGGCAAAATAATTGAGCAGTGCAAGCAGTGGGCAGGGCAAACCTAGGCTGCTCTGCCTTGCAGCTTTATTGTGCATGGGTTTACAACCTCCGAGGGCCACAGGAAGGTGCCAGTCCCACCTTCGGAAAGAATCAGCAGCAGCTGGAGCGTCGCCCCGCTGGTTTCTCCACTCACACGCACTTGTCTGMGGCTGAAAAACGAGCGATGCCGCCACCGATCCCTTCACATGCAACAACTGCTTCATTAGCTCGAGTTTTCCCCCACTTCCATTCAATTACCATCTACTTGTGCTCTGTATTTCCTCGACTAATCATCTGATTAATGTGATACACCCCGAGTAACAACCGCCTCCTGCATCCTGGGGATTTGTTCAGTGATGCCCAACCACCGTGTGCCCATCACTCACATTCTAAGCTGCGATAAGACAACCCAATCCAATTATTATTGCAACAACATGATGAAGACGACGSGCTAATTTAAAAGGACTCTTATTTCCTTACCTGTCTTGGTAGGCAGGTAAAGCTATCTAAGTTTCCTTGGATGTGATGGGGCCTGGGGCCCCTTTTTGGGTACTCTAAATGGTAAACTCCCCCACGTGAGTGAAAATATTACTAAACTTTCTAAAGGCCTGAAGGAAAATAAAAAGCGGACAGGGACAGTTCACGTGGTGAAAGAGTTGGCAGCGCCACTGGCAGCAACTTAAACTTGATCTTTGCTGCACCAAAATACAAGGAGCTTCCCAATCACCTAAATACTTGTGCTGCATATGCTTAAAATACATTCAGATTCAAGTAGCAGTAAAGAGAATCGCTGCTGGACACCGACAGATCTCCAAAAGATGGAAACAGGACATGAATGCCGTGGTCGAGGGGTCCCCTTGTGCGCCCACTTGTTGGGTTGGGTTAAGAGGCACGGGACTGTCGGCAGTCGCCCTCCTCGCTGCAGACCACAGGACACGCCGCCTTGTGAGAAACATTTAATTCAACACAATGGATTACAAGAGGASAGATTTACAGGATCATAACCGTAACAGACCGTTCGAAAAGGAAAGCAATTGTCCCTGGCAGCTGTAGCAGGCCCGGGCGCCCACAGCAAACGCCCGGCAGGGCAGCAGCCCGGTACAATTCAGTCGTCTCRCAGTACTCCACATGAGCAGTATCAAAGAGCTTTCGCATTTCACATCTTGAAGAAGAACAGGTCAATCACTTTGGCGTGGGGTGTTTCTCAAGGAGCTTGCACCTCCTCAGGTCCCTAAGCTGAACTATTCCCCACGGTTACTGCTTCCCAGGCAATTCCCCTGGCCCCTTGCTGTTCGTGCTACTCATCCTTACGTGATAAAGGCTCTGGGAGCTACTTTCTTCCCCAAGTTTTGGGATACCAACAACCTGTACAATTGGTTAGTGGCTCAATACTTAATCCACCACTTCATACTGTACTCTCAACTGAGACTTCCCTGCATACATTATGCAATGGATACCCTAAGACTAAAATCATTTTGGYGACCTAGTGGACACATTGCCCAAACTATAAATTCTGATCTTCCTCCCCTCCCGCTATCCTTCCTAGATAAGCCTGGTTTTTAGCCACAAACTTTAGTCCAATAYGCTCACCGATGTACTGGAAGAGACTGAGGAGTCAATCAAGGTACCCATGGTGAAGCCAAATACTTATAAACACATTAAGGCAGGTTTCACATCATTTCGTTTTTGGACACAAAATGCTGGTCACTTCACGGCACATGCAAGTAAGAAAGTTTTAATACTTRATAAAAAGCTTTAGATTCATTTTTAAGATATCAATTATAGAAAAATCAACCTTTTTCCGTTCTTTTTTCTTAAAAGAGGTCAGAATATCTCTGCACATGAGAGCAGAAGTGCAGACACACCTATTGGAATGGATTCCCTTCCCTCCACACACAGAAAAACAGAGGTCAGGGTTCTTGGCACCAGAAGAGAAAGGAGGAAAAATTTCCTCGTTGTCGGTCAGAAATGAATCATCCTTCCATTCCGAGCGGAAAAAGTCCTTCTGAGCAGACTTAAACCAAAGCAGAATATACCACAGAGCAGGTATATTTACCTTCAAAAGGCTTTTAGGCTACACTCGGACACACACAGAGATCCACGCTGAGAACGTGCCCGGTGGTGCATTCAGCGTGCAGCTGCTGGAGCTAATGTAAAACCGGATTGCCTGGATGTGAGAGCAATTCCCGGCGCRGAACCCACGGAGCGTCGCAGGGAAGAGACCCTGGCAGTTCGTCTCGGAGACTACACGTCAAGACCAATGTGGTCTTGTGAGGAAAGTGAAATTCAGTGACCTGAATCGACGTATGGAATGACAATCCACAACATAAAATGACCCCCCTACAAGTCTGGTACAAACACGGAGCCCACAGCAGAGCAGCCAAGGAGTGAAACTCTGTCTCTCTTGCTTGCAGTGGAGAGAAAACTGTTTTTATGGGTCACTGGTAAAAGTACTTGGATAGAAAAGCCTGAAAAACTTATCACCTATCACTGACCCATAAAACAAACAAAAAAAAGATAGGAATTTTGCTTCCTAATATTTTCCCTCCCTCTATTTTATATTTTAATCCCTCCCACTTTTGTATTCCCTATGATCCTACCCCTTGAGAAAAAGGCGGGGGAGGAGAGTTTAGTCAAGTTCCATCGTCAAAACTACCCAGCAACGAACGAACCGTCAGCTCCTCGGCTCTTCCTGAAGCGGACGGGAAGATGCTCGTGGGTAGCGGCGCGCGGCGCTGCAGGGCGCTCTGCAGACACTTGGGCTTTGTAAATCGTTGTGCTGACCCTGCTGGCAGGGCTTATACTGGGAATTCTTCGATRGAACTCCCTGGAAGGAAAAGAGAAGACACTCGGGTTGTTAACAGGCTCCGATAGACATTTGCAGTTCTTAAGGGACAAGGTATCGTTGCCAGTTGTTGTCTGTAACGTTTCTGTTTCTTTATCTCACTATTTTTCCCCTGCCAGCAGATAATTTATTCTGTTTCTTTACTGTTGCCAGCTCTTTGTAGTACAAGAAAGGCAAGATATCCAGGGCCAAAATAAAGCCACCGTTAATCAGGCAGGGAAAGAGGCGCTTGAAGAGAGCCCAGATACAACAGGGCACCTCCCAAAAGCTGAACAAATATCCCAATTATAATTGACTTCCAGCTAAAAGGCCTGGGGAACATAAATCACTCTAGATTCCACCTGATACCAAGGCAGAGCTGCTATCCCTCTGAAGGAGCTTTGCTTTCTTCTGCTGTCAGCCTAAGATGCCTTTTGCTCCCCTTCTATGTTCACGTTTTTCAAACCTACCTAATAAAGGGGGTAGGATATTGGCTACCCCGTTTCAGTGCCYACACACTAACTGCTTTCCTTAGGGCAAGGCTTCAAACGAGCAAAAACTAAAATCAGTGAGTTCAGTTTTCATCTCATTGCACGAGCTCCACTGAAGACACACTGATGCACTGTAGTTACTACTGTTAAATGAGCTTAAAAGGTTGTTTCCAGATTAGAGAAAGTGGGCTTTTTTTTCCTGGTATTTTCATCTTATACATTTACATGCGGCAGGAATTTGTTTCAGCAACTTCCCTCTTTCAACACCAGGGTACCCTTTCCAACTTCYAAGAATATCACTGTGAATTCCTACAAGGGAGCCTTCTAAAAATACCACGTTGAGCTTCTCCGAACGTGCCCTCTACCAACGCCTGCAAGAAAAGGGTTATTAATAAAGCAAAAGTCAGGCAGTAAGGGGGGTGGTTGAGAAAGACCATAGGGGAAGGCTGCTCTCCCGCCCACAGTATCCCCTGAGTTATCACAGGAGGTAAAAAAAAGAAAGTTTGGAAAAAAATTGCCATAAGATGCTATAAATAAATAATAAYAATAATGATCCACTTCCAAGTACTTACATACACATTCAGGCTATACATTTAGCCCATATGATGGAACAATACAGAATACTCGCTGACAATGTAAACACTTGCCAGACATCCCATTCAAAGTATGTTTTTGACTGATAAAATGGTTACTTCAATTCAAAGTGTGTGCTAGAAAACAAAGTTTTGCTAATATATAAGCCAAGATCCCCTTTGAAAGCATTTCTGCCTCCAGCAAGGCSCTATTCGGTAGAGCGTAAGACGAGGAAGGAAGTTACGTTACCTAGACTATACATTCTCCATCTCCTGGTCATGGTCCTGCTCCTCCTCCTCCTCGTCCTCTTCGCCTTCGTCCTCGCCGCCTTCCTTCTCCAAAGGAGCGTCGCCGTCCCTCGCTATCTCCTCCACGTGGGCGAGCATGTCGGCCATGAGGGCCTCCTCCAGCCTCTTGCGCACCTGCTGCACCAGCTCCTCCTGCTTCCTGCCCAAATCAACCAACACTCCCATTAATTCTCAGAGCTGTTAAYTGGAAGCCCCTCCCCGCTCCTTTTTCAGGGGGCTTTAACCAAAGTTTCTCGAGCTCAGATACCTTTTCCAACACAAGATGACATGTTTTGATGTGAAAAAGAGAAGTTCAATACCTAATGTCTTCATCTGTCACCATAAATGCTTTGCAAAGCGGCTGTGAGGTGTTGAGCCAGACTCCAGGATTCTTCTCCACGGCGGCGGACAGCTGCCCCGTGATGGGCATGGTGCTGGTGTGCAGAGCACTGGCTATGGCAGAGAGAAGGGTCTCATCCGTGCAGCCAGGGCCAACCCCTAGAAGGAGGGGGGAAGACAATCTAATTTACAAGCTCAAGAACAGGATTTGTGCAACGTAAGCCTCAGTCCTAAACCTTCTAAGAGCTTTGGTAGGACTGTCTCAAGGGGTATTCAAGCCTAGASCAACTCCTCACTGTGTTACATACAACCCAGCTTGCCAAAGGGAGCTGTTTGAACTGCTTTAGGAAAACGAAGCTTYGCTGCTTCGCCCCGCTGCGCCTCGGCATCCGCTCCGGGTGAAGGGCTGAGGAGCGACTGTCCCTGCTGCAGGGACGCTCCAGAGCGCTGCGGGACRCGCAGGTGACATTCAGCACCTTTACACCGGTACCAACCGCCGTCCCCRGCGTTAGCAGTGCTCTCTGCTTACCTTGCAGACCTTTCGGAAGGTCCATCGTTTTCACCAGCTCCTCGGCGATGTCGAAGGCGTTCAGGCCACTTAATTTCTTCTCCCAGAAGAGCTGACATCAAAGAAAGCGTTTATTGGTACAAAATGGAGAAACAGATTTGCCAAGAACACAGAGCACCTGCTACTACATAAAACAAAAATAAAACTAACAGGGRGAAGAGGGGAGAAATGCTGCTGCAGACAACTTGATATTCAATTTACTACAGAAAGGGCCTGGCAAAGACAGGGAGAGATTCTCATTGCTGACAGGGGATCAATCTCACATCTCTGCCCTCATTTACTGCCTAAAAAAGAAAAAATAGAAAAACCACACAAAAAGATTTTCTTTTCCTCCAGAGCTTGCCAACAGGTGAATATTAAGTGCACGACAAGGCTGACAAGTGAGGAGGTTTTTAAGGAAACCACATTCCTCTTAGTATACAGTATATTCTAACTGCCCTAGACCTAAAAGGGCTCAATATTCACTGATAACACTGTGATAACACTGATAATGCACAATATTCACTGATGACACCGTCTCAACAGACTAAATACCTTGGTTCCCAGTGCCACAGAGCGGGACTCACTACAGAGGATTTGCAGTATCCCCGTTGTGAGCCTGGCTGCAGCGATGGGCTCTGGGCCCCAGGAATCTCTACGGAAATGAGTCCATTTTCCAAAGGTTGCTCTGAACACGCAAGCCTCATTTTCCTACCGCCTTAACTTCAAAGCTGCATTTGTTCCTCAGCACTTTTTGCCTCTTTTCACTGGATTAAATTAAGCTGGAAGATTTCCTTGAATTTGGCTGTATTCTGTTGTTTGCACATACACAGTACAATTGGAAAGAAAAATCTTTTATACTTAATAATGACATTTCAAATTAATTTCTGACCTCATTCTTACAGCTGGAGTAAGCAAAGGTCTATGCAGGGGTGCAGCCTCTCAGTACATCAGAAGCACCGCAGTCTAGTCTGAACTGGAACAGGGATTTCTTGAAATACAGAATCCTTAAACAACTGGAGCATTCGAGAGCGATTCTAATTATAATGCAAATGTCCCCTAAAGTGGTTATGATTTTTGTTTAAATTTGCAGATRGACTTGATTCCAGTATCAGGCAAAAGCAGTTTTGGCTGCAGTGGTGACCTAACCAAGGTTGGAATCTAGTTACAAACACAGTGCAGACAGCACTGGAGATGCTTTTTGTTTTGATTTTAAAAGCTGGGAGCACTATAGCGTGTCATTTCTGAAACCTCTGACACTTCAAATTGTCATAGAATATTTATTTACTGTTAAAAATTCAACTGTTTTACTCTGTGACTCTCCAAAGGGGAGAAATGAAAGTTTCTTAGCCCCAGCACAGGAGCTGCGAAGCTGCAGGTCTCACCTGCCGGGGCTGATCCACGGCTTTCTGCGGATCACTCTTCACCTTGTTGCTGGGATGGTTGGTGATCTTTGTGACAGGCTGCTTGAATATGGAGGCTGTCTGTCTGACAGGGAGCGCAGTATTCAGATCAGGTTTGCCCTGAAAATTCCAACAAAAAGAGGGAAAAGACACACCAAATTGAGCAAAAGATACCATGGCTAATAAAATATATAGAGCAGTGAAAAGCAGTATTTAAATATTTGAAAACTTGTTTGTTCAAGCTCTGTCCTCTCAAATTCAGGCTGCAGTTTATCAAATTTAACAAAGTTTTCCCACTCTTTCACATTCTAACTAAAATACTGATTGCTCTGATTACAATTTAAAAATACTTTGCTTATTTTATTCTGATAGAACACAAAAGTCAGAACCTTGAATTTGCTTTCGCGTTTTAATACGAGAGTCACCTCTGCATCACTAAAACTGAATTTCCAAAAATCAGAAAAAAATCTTACTCAGAATAAAGAGCAGAGTTTGTGAATCCAGAAGTCACTGTAAAAGCCTGCTTAAATTCAATTGTGGATGTCAATAAACACAACAGCATAGTGGGAATTCCAATTACTTTTTTTACCTCCAGTTCTTAACAATTAAGCACATCAAAACTAACAGCTAAAAACCGAGTCTGATTTCAGTTTTCAGCAGGCTGATAACAACCAAGTTTTGCTACACAGCAACATTTTTATTAGGGGGAACTTAGGAACAGTGCAGCTCGTTCTGAGATCTAACCTGCAAATCTTGCCATGGCTCTAGGACATACTTTGTTCTCGAGATTGCCGACAGAGCGTCTGCTTAACACAGTTTCTCAAGATATAGAGCAAAGTATTTGGGACATAAACCATTCTGCATCCCCTACGTGCAAATCCATCCATAAGGTGGTGATAAATCTGATATGGGAGGTAGGGRCATGTGCATGCTACTAGTCTGTGCAAGGCAAAGTATTTTTCTTATAAAAATATCACCAAAGTGATATTTGCTATCGCATGCTATCATATGGTATAAGCACATGCTCCAGTCACTTATATCAGAATATTGTCCTTTTCTTCTTGCCTGGTTGACATATTCTAAAAAATAAACATCACACTTTTCCACATTTAGTTTTCTAGGCACATAGACAAACACCAAATAAAATCCGGTGTTCTCTAAAGTTTCCAGCATCTGTTACAAACACTTAAGAAMAACCAGAGTGCATTTAGCCAGATGGGTTTTTCTACCAAAAAGAAAAAACAGAAACGACGAATTATGGTATTTGTCCGACAAGCCACAAGAGAGACATCAGATGACAGGCCTCCGGTTTGAAGCGTTAATTCCCAAGTGCTAAACGTGCCTGTTCTCCCAGACACCGATTTGGGAAAGAGGTGGAAGTTTTGGCTGCGGCTGGCGCTCACCTTGGCTTGGTTCGAGCAGTCGTAGCGCATCCTCTGCCTGTTCTTGTTCATTTTAGTCATGAGCATCTTGCCCGTGCGGAAGTCGAAGGTGCYGAGCTCCATGGAGCTGCCCAGGTAGCGCGCCAGCTGGGGCTTGCTTCGAAACTTCTTCCCGCTCGGGCTGCACAAGCACGCAAAACAAACAGGGAGAAACGTTAACAATCACCGGGTTTTGGTAGGTTGCAAAACCAAAGAGTTTCATTTCTTCCAGGAGAGAAGCCAAATGCTGAACTTCCGAGAGTGAAATCCCCCTTTCTCAGCTTACACAGCTCCAGATGGATATTTGTGCATTTGGGTCAACTCCTTTTCATAATTATTGCAGAAAAGGCAAATTACACGTAGAATTTGTTCAAATGTTCTTAAAAGGGAAGAGCAGAGCCCAGGCCGGGCATGAATGAATATAACATAACCCATCCCATACTGAAATGGAAGTTGCTGGCACAAAACCTCTCATTATTTGAGGCAAGTGAGCACTCAATGCCTGTCCTCAAACACAGCTTCTTCTCACAGGAGCTTTATGTTTGAGGAGCACCACAATGTCTCTTCAAACTCCCGTTTCCCCTCCCCGGATTGCACATTCAGCCTTGATTACAAGTTTTTGGTAGCACTCTGAACGCCTTATTTCAGGATAACACAGTATTCAGGAGTAAGTGGTGAGTATTAAGGACAGTGTCAGCTGCTGACAAGCTGCAAAGCAAAGAATGATGAAGTTTAATTAACAACAGACTAAGGGTCAAAGCCTTAGAAAACCCTGCATTAAAGGTAAAACAGAAGGGAGACTTCTTAAGCATCTGATTGTACAGAACAGACTACAGCGCGGCAAGCAGATGCAAATTGCTCCAACTTTTTCTTCTGTTTTATTAATATAACATGYTTATAATGTATTTATCTCCTCACCAGCCTACAAATCCCCTCAGTTCCTGATCTCCTGAGATCCTCCTTTTGGAAAGTAGGGGTTAGCAGCAGGGAAGGTCCTGGCCCTGGTTGCTCCTAGCTGCTTATCCTACCCCACATCCATCCCTCCCACATCCACTCTGCAAGTGTAAAAGCGTTTGTGCCAACGTAGCTGTGCAGAGAGGGAAAATATTCCAGCTTTTGCTGGAATATTGCAGGAAGACGAGGAGGAAATGCTTTGGCGTTGGTTATTCTCGACCTCACTAGAGAGGTGCACACAGGGAGGTGGCAGAAGATCACCCTGCAGTAGGTAAAAAAACAGAGAGACCAGGTCTCGACTTCAAACGTGAAGCTGCAGCTTAAGAATCTAACAGGAGTTAAATGCCTCGACCCAGAAAGAGGGAAAACCAATTCCCACTAATTTTAGGGAAAAGTCATCCTTGCGGGTAGTGAAGTCAAAGAGAGAAACGAAACAACTTCTACATGAAAAAATACGACAGTGTTGCCTCTTCCAGGATCCTCAGCGCCAGTTTGTGGTTTAGTGTTGTAGCAGCAGAAATGCACCGTTATTCACTGGAAATCATGGGCCATGCTGGTGGCATCTGTTCTGGAAGGCATCTCTCAYCTAGAAGCGCAAGGCAGCTCCTAGGCTGGAAATGTAGATATCCCCGGGGATGAYAACATTTTAAACGAAAGGGCCACAAACAGACCTGCTAATTTCTGCAACTGCCGCCTAATTCAGCACCACTGAAAACAACTTGTACCAGGACACAAAAACGACAGGAACGGTGGGAGTTTGTCCTTTAAATGGGCCAAAGCTTCCCCAACAGAACGGGAGATGGGATACAAGGAAAACTCCTGTGCGTGGCAATGGCTGTGCTCCCTACACAGGCTACCGCTTCTAACACATCCCCAAAGCTGCTCCAAGCCAGCTGAGGACTGAGAGGAACCTGCAAGGAAAGAAAAAGGAATGAAGGAATCCAAAAGCGCTCGGAGTCCGCTGGGAAGCGTGGCCTGAAAGAGTCGTGCTGATGTGCTAAGAAGAAAAAACTTCTTTTCGGGACACAGAATCAGAAAAAGGCAACTGTGGAATAGGGGGACGAGGAGCAAACTCGGTGGTGAGACTGCAGGGACAGCGCRGGTGTCCTCCGGGCAGCGCCGTCCTGGCACAGGGATGAGCTACAGGCACTTGAACGGCTTGAAAGCAGTAGTTAAACAGCCCCCCAAARCCTACGGAACGGGGGCGGCAGGAAGGCTGCCCCGTGCTGGCTGCAAGTGACGRCAGGGCAGACAGCGCCGCGTTCCCGGGACGCGCGGGGCTCACGGGCGCTCCTCGCCACCCCGCACGGGGCACCCCTCGCCTCCCMGCGCGCAGCCGAGCGCCTCCAAGCTCTTCCTACGCTAATACTCTCGGCTATGCAAAGGTCTGGGAGGCCCAGCAGGAAAGTTCTGATTTAAAAATTGAAGGACATATGTATACCCACACAGAGTACAGGCCATTGCTGGATTAAGGTCTCCTCCACCCAGCGCGCTGCGGGGAAGGCAGGGCCGCCGCGCGGCTGCGGGCGATTTTCATGCTTGTCCGTCAGCAAACGCGGAGCTTTCTCCGAAACGAGCACGAGCAGCAACCGAGGGCGGTGCTGCAGAGCYGCCAAGCCCACGGTTGCTTTTCAGGGACTTTTTGTTATTATTATTATCAGGAGCAGATGACGGGGGGGCGCACTGAGCCGCCAGGTGCCTGCTCTCCATGTGCCAAGTGGCCTTTGTTCAGAGCCTTATATTCTTAAGGAGAAAAAAAAGAGGCCCGGAGCCCTGTGCCCTCCCCCTGTCTCGTTAGGGAAATCTCCTCCCCTTCTCCTCTCCCCATTTAGCATTTGCCAGCTCCAAAGACAAAAGAGGGAAAAGAAAGAGAAAAAATCCCCGCACAACCCAAATGTTTTCTGCCTTTTAAAGACACARAGATAACAATAACTTAGGTAAAGTGGGCGAGGGAAAGCAGGCGTCTATAAGAAAACCACCTCATTTCCTTAGTGTGGGGAGGCGGGCGCAATGCAAAACACGTTTCCTCCTTTCTCTAAACGCGGGGGTCCCTCCTGCACCAGGGGCTCTTCGGCAGGCCGAGCCCTGGGCACCGCAGCCCCTCGTGCTGCACGGGGCAGAGGAGCCCGGGAGGCTCCTTGCGACGCAGATCCCGCCACTCCCCGCGGAGCTTCTGCCGCACGATCCAGCTCCTTCGACAGGGAACAAGTTATATGGAGAAAGGGAGAGCGGGATTGGCGGCTGCAGTGCATCYTTACAGAGTAAAGCATCCCTAGCGCAGCACAGATCTGCCTCRGTGGTGCCGGCTCCCGCTCCGTGGCTGCAACGGGATCAGATGTATCCAGAGTCTTCCCTCACCCAGAAAAGCCCCGATGCAAAAGGCAGAGCAGGGGCCTCTGCAACCTGCTGCCGCACGGACCCACCTCTATGCACTTAATGCACCTGRATAGTGCAGGTGCCTCGGGACACGGGTGCCTCTGCTCACCTGTGGCCTTGGGGAACTGCTGGTTGTCATTCACCACCACATCTGTCCTTAAAAAGCATTTAGTGGCACCCGGTGGCCCGTCACAGCAGCAGCACCCTGCACCCACACACGTGCGTGTCCAGGAACTCGGCACAGGGAAGTCTCCAGGCATAGAAAACTCGAAGGGAACAGGCACGGAAAAGCTCTGTGTTCCTAGAAACACTGCACCCCGCTGAGGAACAAAAACACGTAACTGAAGAATGAACCCAAGTATAAATATCCACTTTTGTAAGGTCCAGCTTAGGAATCACAAGGCYCCCTTCAGGGGCTTTGGATGGTACAGAGCAACTGAGAACGAGCACAGGATGCTCTCAGAAAACACATTCTCCTCTGCAATTTTTGGGGAAAAAAGGTATTCAGATCAAGAGATTTGCAAGCTTTTTTTTTTGGAAAACATTTTTCTGGACTCTTTCCATGCGTTGCTGCACAGCTAAGAAATCCACAGCAGAGTAAGCTTCACCTAGCACAKGGTATCCAGTGGTTGCGAGCGGAGGTGCCCACAACTTCCTGAACCCGAAAGGAACAAAACCCCAAACATCTGACATGCTCCGACATCGAACTTGTAACAAAACACCATTAAAAAAGAGGCTGTTGTGACACAAAGCAGCTCCTTCCCATAAYGGGGAATAAATGGCAGCAACAGCTCCAAACTGGCTGCTGGTTCCCTCCTGATTTTCCCCAAATTTTAAGTCCCTGGTAGGGGAAACAAGGAATTCTAGTAAAAAACAGAAGAGAAGTGTCTGTGGAATGGGCTGCTTTGGGAAAGCAGGCCGGGGCGCCCGGCAGGACGCACGGGAGGGCGTCCCTGACACCCCGACGGGGCCACGCGCYGGAAAAACGGGTATTTACCCACGGCCACGCGCACCTTTCCACTCCGGAGTACGGCAGAACGCACCAAAAAACCAAAAACTAACACAGCAGGGCCGAGTTATACCTTGGATCTCGGTCCAAATTGATACAAAGGGAAAGAATTCACTGTAATTTGGGAATAAGAACAAGCTGCTTGGCCTCTGCCCCCCTCTTTTTTTCTTTCCTGAAGTCCAGCATTGAGATCACAACTTTACGAGAGAAATGCCACCAAAAGCAGGGATCCCGCGGGCTTTCCGCTCCCGGGGATGCTTCAGGCGGCCTTCCCCTTCCCGCAGCCGCCCTGGATTGCGATGGGAGAGCCGGGCAGCTCCGGGCTCACTGACCACCAGCCGGCTGCCCAGAACGTTATTTCCGTGCCGGGGCACCGACCCGGGCGCGAAGCCCCTCGACCGCCGCCGGAGACCGGACAGGGGAGCGGGCGCCGCGGACGCGACACCGCGGTCCCGCAGCACACACCGGGGCCACGTTAACTTAAACCCCTTAACGTATAGCGAGAGCCGTGCCCGATGCATAGGGAGAGCCGTGCTCCAGGGCCCAGGGCCGGTGCCGGCCCCTCGGGCGCGCCCGCCGCCCCCGCGCCGCTTTCCTGAGGTAAACGGTTGCCCGGGGCC